ACAGCTTCCGTTGCTTACGCTGCTTAAACGGTTAAAGTTACGTAAAAATCATGTATGACGAAATTGTTCCCCTCTAAAAGTTCTAAAGAAAAGTCCGGGACAGCATATGTCTATCTTTTAAGGTCGAGTCAGTATAACCTTTTTTATGGTACTGAAATTTGTTCTAAAATAATAATGCATTATGTGTAAAATTCTCGCGTCACAGTGTTTGTAACCGAACTTCTCCGAAATGGGTTGACCGATTTGTATGAAATTTTTCATGTATATTCGGTAGGTCTGAGAATAGGTTGTAAACTATTTTTTAAACCCCTAAGTGATAAGGGTGGCCCACCCTAAAAAATTTTGGTCTATTTTTTGCACAAAATTTTTTATTTTTATTTTTTTAAGAATTGGCATCAAAAAATACACATAACCCTAAATTTTCACCTTTCTACCACCAACCCCCATTTTTTAATCGTCTATATAATAAAAATCAATTGCTGTTCCTGTTAGTCTCGCTAAGACTCAAAAACGGCTTGACCGATTTGAAGAATTTTTTATATTACGGGGATGGTTTATAAATAAAAAAAATAAGGAAAACTTAAAAGAACAGTTAAAAAATAAAAAAAATCTAAAAATTTTGTATGGGAATCGCCACTTCGAATTAATTTCAATAGTTGTGCAATTGTGAAAAGTATATTGCATTTCAAATCGTTCTTTGTTTTTCGTAAAAAAAACGTCGTTTATAATAAGAAAAGTCTTGGTTAAAGTGAATTTAATTACACATTGCGAAAGTTTCTTATTAATTTTGATCTGCCATTCTATTTACCGATATTCACTTTGTTGGTTTCGACAAAACCTCAAACTTTACCGTTATTCGAGGATTTAGTTTGTAGGTTTCAATATTTTAAAATTCTCAAGACAAAATTTACAGATTTGATTGACTGTGAAAATAATTCTGTCGTTTTACGAAGTTCATATCAGCATTGTAATGCCGAGAAGACGATAAGCTGACATAGGTCCACGAAGTCAATCAAATGTGCGACGAACTACCTCAGGTGCAAACCGCAATGATTTATTTCATGGGTAATTCGGATATGGAAGTTGATCAGCGTTGTGCTCATAATCAACATGAATAAAATGAATAAAACTGAGTAGAAACTAATATTCGAAGTACGAAGTACCTACTTCATTATTACTCTTATATACCTGAGCATCTACTCTATGTACTGAGTACCTACTTGGAAACATTGTATCTCCCCGGACACAAATTGAACATCTACGTGTTTTGTGAGCATTTAATCTAAAAATGAAAATCGGCGTGGCAAATAACTGAGCTGTCTGTAAAGCAGCTTAGAAAACGAGTAGGATCGTTGTAAGAGTGAATTTTGACTAAACATGGCGACTTTCATGAACGTGGAACGTCGTCAAAAGGTGCATTCAGTTTGAAAAACACATTAGGAGCAGGAATATCGAAAACTTTTCAGGTAATTAACTTTTATTTATGCATAAATTGTGCAGTGCGTTTTTTCTAACATTGGCCATAGCGATTCCCATCTCAATGTGTCTACCCCATACTAACTTATATTTTGGTGACTCGATTTTTGCTTTGATGGTTGAACGCTGTCACTGTTGTCCTTTTTTGTTGTATCGAGATGCTACTTGAGCATCAACTGTTACCTACTGAAGTATTAGTATCATGTAGAAAAACTAGAAATATTTTGATGTGATACTCGAGTAGATACTTCGTATTTCGAGTATGAGCATTTATATTATTTTTTTATTTATATCAACCATTGTCAAAAAATTGATCGAACGTTGTTTCGACAGAACGTCCTTCGCACCAAAAGTATAATGAAACATATTCAGCATTTTCGAGTTGAGTCTTTTCTTCACACAGTTTTGTGATGACCTAATCAACATTTACGATCAACACGTATACCACCTTGGATTGGTGCAGTGTAATACTAAAAATAACTGTATTGTATTCCCAAAATTATCTGCGAAAATAGAGTGAGCCATTCCATCAATTTTTTGGGGGCAATAAATAAATATTCTTAACAATTTACCATGCTTACAATAACTTTAAAACGTCTGCAAGATCTCAAAGTATTCATTTTTGCAACTCTTGAGTTATTCACTAAAATAAATTGACTGATCCATATATTTTTTTGAGTCACTGTAAAAGCAAATCTAAAAAATATGAATGCAATGATAAATTACGAAAATATACTGATGATATTTTCCACATTTTAGATAGAATCTATTCGGGAAAATCTTGAGATGACGTTTTCAAGTTTTTGGGTTTGATAAACAGATATATTTTGATTGAAAACCTACCATGTCAAACAGTAACTTCAAAACCTCTGCAATATTTCAAAATTCAGTTTTGCAATCCTTGATTCAATTAATAAAATAAATTGACTCAGTGATTAATTTTTTTGAGACACCCCCTATAAGCAAAACTAAAAAATATGAATGGAATGATGAATCACAAGTATAGTCTCATCCTATTTTGGACATTTTAGATAGGACTCATTTGGCAAAATTTTGGGCTGACGTCATCAATTTTTTGGAGAGGATAAGTAAATATATTTTGAATAAAAATTTATTATGCTTATCATATGTTTAAAACATCTGCGAGATTTCAAAGCATTCGATTTTGCAGATTCAAAATTAAATTGTAGGTGAAACGAAGTTCACGGGGTCAGCTAGTAATCAATAAAAGCAGTACATATGTTTCGGTTTTCTTTTCTAGCTTGTTCACAGATGATGGAATCTATGATTAATTGCTCTTTGTATCCTTTAATACATCCTTTCTGTTCTTCATTAATGATGTCAGAGTTAAAACAGTGTTGATAGATTTTTTGTGTAATGCATGAGGTTAATATTTTATAGATTGTAGGTAGACATGTGATAAGTCTGTATTTTGATGGATTTTTTGTGTCGTTATCTTTAGGTTTTAGGTATGTTACAACAGGACATAAGAATGTTGGAAAGGAGGATGGGTCAAGAAGGAACTGATTTAAGTGATGTAGTAAATGAATATGTACACAATTTAATTTTTTTATCCAAAAATTATGGATTTTGTCTGGTTCTGATGATTTCCAGTTGTGTGTCTTATTGATGGTATTTATTAATTCGGCAAGTGTTATCTGATGATCATTCATTGGTGTAACTGTGGATAGTTTATGGGATATATGAGGAATCCATTTGGCAGATTGGTTAAATTCAAATTCTTTAGACGAAAGTTTTGACCAAAATGTTGTTACATCCTGTGAACTTGGTAGTTCACCGGATAATTGAGTTTTGCTTGAATTAGTTAAATGTTGATAGAATAGTTTTTCGTTGTTTAAAAATTTAGTGTTATGAATTTTTCTGAGATGTGATTGTTTGTATCTTTTAAGTCTTTTGCTATATAAAGAAAGCTTTTGTAATGGGGTATCTTTAATTTGGGATAGTATTGTGTTGTACTCAGCGTAATCAGTTTGATATAATATTAATATTAATAATATTATTATTTAGCCATCCTAACAGATAAACCATTTATAAAGATGGGGATGAATTAAGAAAAAAAAATAGAAAATCTAATTCAAAATTATAAACGCCAACTTTTAATTTGGCGGATACTGCTGTTGAATAGGTCAAAATGATTCCTGTATAAATTATAGTTACGACAGATAGTGACAATAGGTGAAAACATATGTACATTTATTCTTGAAAATTCAACGTAAAAACATTCTGGATTTCTGGTATTAAGTCTAGGTACCAAGAAAGATAATTTTCCCAATAATACATCTGAATCAATTTTAGCATTTACAAGCTTAAAGAGAAAACATAAAGACAAAATAACACGTCTCATTTCTAACCTCTGAACTGAGAAAATGGATAGCAGTGTATCATGAGGAAAACCTCTATCCGGATAAAAACCGAATGCTCTAAAGAGAAATTTTAAAAATTTGCATTGTAAATTCTCTATTTTGAGGCAGTGCGTATTATAACCGGGAGACACCGGCCACTGCTTCAAAGGAGTTCTGCCGCTTTCTTGGCAAATGCAGGAGGAGATCTAATTTCTATCAAACGTTACGAGGGATGGATATCTAGCACCGTGGCGGAGGGGTACATTGCAAATATTATTGTGGCGACACAATAATAAGTAGTAGTAAGCGAAGAAAGATAACCGGCCTCGTGGTCTAGTGGTCAGGATACCTGCCCGGTGAGCGGGGGGCGTATGGTTCGATACCCACCGAGGCCGCAATATTCTTCTTCGCTTACCTACAGTATAAATAACAAAATCAAGGTATTTCTAGCAAAATCTTTGATAGCCAATCCTTTACATCCACTGAAGATTCTACTCGGAATAGAGACCAAGTTGTGGAAAACTTTGGAAAAGAAAATATTCAGAAAAATTTTGCATCTACCGGAGATTCTGCTCGGAAGAGACCAAGTTATGAAAAACATTATAGAAGAAAATATTGAGGAAAATTTAAGAACAGTGTCTGGTGGACCAAAGGTCAAATTGACAATAACTATTTCAGTGTTCCGATTATTTTTAATGTTAATAAAAATTAGTCGCAATAATTGTTGTTTTTGAAATAAATTGCATATTCTGAATTGCAAAATGTGTCATTTAAATCGTTGCCTAACAATAAAATTGTATCGTTATATCCTATTTTTAACTATAGCTCGAAAGTCATATCTTGCATATCCTTAGTGATATTATATTAAAAGTTGTCATTTTTCGACAGTTGTAGGAAAATTAAATTTTATAATTTTTCTGTGAGAGCGACTCTCGCAGTATGAACAAGTTTCGAAGTGCCACAATAAACGATTCATCATCAATTTTTTAATGGGTAAAGTTTGTATGCAAATCGTCATGAAATGGACAAATCAGATGTATATATGTATATTCTAACCATTCATCTGACTTCAAAGAAAACGCCATCAACTTGACGTTAGATGCGCAAACTCTCTTTGTGTTTCCCCACTGACCATACCAGATGGTAAGAAAACCAGCTTGCTCTCCCAAGGACATTTTTCTGTTGTCATAAATGTCTATTATTTTACAAAAATATTGAAATATGGTTATAAAAAATTGGTAGTGCGTATAAAATTACTCTCCAACAGGTGTGATGGTCAATTCATTAATCTGCAACTCAAAGATTTCAACATATAATACTTATAATGATTTGCAGCCCAATACCTGAACATTTTCAGAAGTAGATAATACGTATCCTACAGCTTCCGCAACGTCTTCTCCCTTTAGTGCTGGCAAAGATTTAAATAAATTTTGACGCTCTTGACTAAGCTCGGTATTCAAAGTTGTCATTTCACTATCGGTTAACCCAGGACTAATACTCTACAATTAAAAGTGTCACAAAAAAATAAAACTAAGTAATCAAACGTTACCGTTGTTTTAATTTTAGAATTCACAGCGTTCAGTTCATGCCTCAACGTCTCAGTTAGAGCAGTCACTGCGTGTTTAGTCGCAGGATAAACATTGATTCCTGGAAAAGGCAGCACTTTATGACCTACTACACTGTTGATATGAATAATATGGCCGTTGATGTTATTAGCAGACATTATCTTAATAGCCTCTCGAGTTGCAATGCACAACCCCAGAACATTTACATCGAAAATTTGTTTCCAGAGCGCTGCATCCCCATTTCTCAACAGATTGTCTTTAAAAAGACCAGCATTGTTGATAAGGATATGAACGTGGCCCAAATTTTCTTCAATCCACTTGAACGCATTCAGAATATCTTCTTCTTTTGCGAGGTCAGTTTTGATAGCATACAGTTTTCCTGTTTTGCCAGAAAGCTCTTTGGCTTTTGCGTCGACGAGTTCGTAACGACGAGCCAAACCAGCGACCTGAAGAAGTATAACTTTTTTCGTAAATTAGTGGTGGGGTACTCACTATTAATCCTTTGTCTACGAGGAACTGTGCAATAGCAGCACCTATTCCAGAACTTGCACCTGTCACTACCGCGACTTTTCCGACCCAGCGGTCTAGCGAAAGCACCATTTTTGTGGCTTTATGCAGAGGCAAACTCACAACGAATAATGAAGCGACAGCCTTGGCCTTGGTAGTGAACCAACACAGATCCTGCGGTTTCTAAACCAGAAGCTATTATTAGAATTTGTATTTTTGTCTGAGCACACACTGTACAGTTCGTTTGGAATTAATAACATTAGCTGATTTTTATGACGAATTTTGTTTGGAGCAGATTAGATAGGGAGCATCGAGAGATAAATGAATTTATTTTGCTAGATATACAGACAATTTGTTATCAAATTGTCGGTTATGAAACGTATTTTTTAAGTAGTTGAAAATATGTTTTGACTGGATGCAGAAGTTTGCATCGCTGATTCTCAAGAATGAAGGTTATATAATAGTAAATAGTATTAACCTGATGGAAGTTTTTTTGTTGTTAAAATTTCATTTTCATTTCGCATGACTTTAAAAATTTTCCGTTTTCACACGTCATCATTTGCTGTCTGTCTATTTCTTTGTCTATCTGAAATTTAATAGAGAAATAATCTCTGAAGTACCACTATTGCGAAATTATTTAACTGTATACTAAAATTTATACGAAATATATTTTTCTACTTTATGTCCAAGATAGGCTCACTGCTGTAGTGTCCTCATTTTAAAAATTAAATTTCGCCCTAAAAAGAAAGCAACACCTCAAAACCACATTTGAAGATTATAAAATTGAAGGGCAAAATCACTCAGTATCATAAGCAATGATCCATGCGCTCTCACTCGCAGCGGAATTTAAAACCCTTAGTTTAGAATAGAGCTTGGAATTCAGTGGGACAGATAAAGATTTGAGTGAACTTACTTACTAGTTACTTTCTATGTGGGTTCATCAAGGTCACTCGTGTTTTGTGCTGTTAGTGAACCGATATTTTAAAAAAATGTAGATTAATTTTTATTTGTGATTTTATAGAAGGGCAATTGTTTAAAGAAAAATGAATCGCATTCTATGCCACCGTCTCTGTCCAATCAGCGTCAATAACGTAAAACCAGTTAATTGGCGATTTTCTAATCTGAAATGTCGTGAAACTTCGGCAACCTCATCGACATCAGAAAACAGAAGGGCTTTAATATTTTCTTACAGATTTAATCATCTGCTTATAGACTGAATTTGAACTTTTGTTCTCAAATGAGAAGACGCCTTTCGCGCCGCTCTCGCTATGGGTCGTCGCGCAGCGTACTTTGTTTTCATTCAGCTTGGTCTTTTCTTGTTCGACTGCCATAATTTAAACGTGCCGTTACACCACTATTACAACTTAACTATTACCATTCAGTTACCTTAATGACGATTTTATTTTTTTTGGGTGTTTAAATTTGTGATATTTAAATATTTCTATCGATTTGTAACATTTGACTTCATTTTTAAAAGCTGTGTTCCAGCTGATTTCGAACTGCTATATAATTACGACTAGTTCTTCATTTTGAGCAAATACACTGACCGGCATAGAAAACCGGCCACTCTGAAAAATTTCTCAAAACCAAATTTTAAAAATTATTAATTTAACTAGTGATCGTTATTTTATTAAACAACCATTCACCATTGACACATGATGTATAAATCAGCAAAAAAAGAAGACAAATAAATGTAGAATTAAATTTAATTTAACAAAATAACAGAAACAGAGCGACAGTTTGAGAGACGTCTATAAGTGTAAAGGGAATTATTTTCGCCTGAAAACGTTTATTAATTGCCAAATGATGAAAAACACTATTACTAGGTCTGTTTGTGTTATTTTGTTAAATTAAATGTAATTCTGCGTTTATTTGTCTTTTTTTTACTAATTTGTAACATTATGTGTCATTAGAGAATGATTCTTTAATAAAATAAGGATTACTAGTTAAATTAATAATTTTTAAAGTGGTTTTGGAAAATTTTTTGGGTGGTCGGTTTTTTTTGCCGGTCAGTATAGTTTTGGCATCCAAACTTGAAGTATAGTAGACCCAAAGCTATAAGGTTATATAGCCATCATAAAATCATCCCATTGTGTCGAAGTTAAGTTGTTTACAATAGAAAAGGTTTTAGTGTCCTAAATAACGTGTCCACTGCAGCTCAACCGGCTGTTGTGGTTTCGTTCAGGGACGGCTTTCACTAAATATGTAAATCTACCACTCCACTATTTCTTTACTACCTGCAGCCGCTGAGGGTTTCTAAATAACCACTCGCTTTGAAAGCCGGCCTTGTTAAATGTAAGCAAGAAATGTTTAGCAGACGATTTATTGCCAACCGGTAAGCTTAGTGCCAACCACACAAAGGGGGTATTTATTTGCGATTAACTACTTTTATGATGGTCACATAACTTTATACCTTTTGGACTAGTATATATGTCCAAAAGAATTCTAAGTTTTTCCTTTTGCCACATTGGTTGCCTTTCAACTACCGTGTCTCCTTAAAATTGTGATGTCCGCCTCTCACACTGCTAGCTTGTAGCAGACGTTCTTCTAAAACAATGGTTTATGTACTTGCAAGGACTTCAAATATTCAGCGACCTTTCGTGATATGCTGAAAATAATATAAATAGCAACATTTTGTACAGTATATTCGGCACTTCAACATCCAAGAAAACATCGTTAACTCTCAATTGACGAAGGAGCGATAAATGAATATTTTCGAAATAATTCAACAAGATTTGGCGTTCGGGGAGAGCTTATTTTTGGTTCACTTCTTGCTAAATATTGTTTAACACCTCTTAATAAAATTGGTACATCATTTACTTTGTAATTATTAGAGTCCGGAATTTTATGCACGAAATTTGGCCAAAATATGTGCATATTTATGCAGAAAAAATAAGAAAATATGTTTTAATTTTACGAAAATATGCAAAATTTTTGTAAACATATGCACACGTTTTATACTTTTTTTATTGAGCATACAACAAATTGGTAGTTTATCCATAAGTCTAAAACTTTGAATTTAAAACAATATTGTGCCATATTTTAAAAATTTTATTTTACAAAAAAAAGACAACTAAATAACAAATATTTGCAAAAAAAACGAGTACAATGATACATCAAAAACAGTTAAATGTCTGCATTGTAGGTAAACAAAGAAAAATGTTGCTCTGCCTCGGGGGGAATCGAAGCCCACGCTTCCCGCTTGCCGGGCAGGTATCCTGACCACTAGACCATGAGACCGCTTATCTTTCTTCGTTTACTACTACTTATTATTGTGTCGCCACAGCGTTAATGCAACTATAAGTTTTTCAATGTTTTCAATTAAAAAATTACGTCGCCTATCAGAAAAAATTTGTTTATAGGTAGAGAAACTCGTCTCTACATCCACTGATGTAATGGGTGCATACTTAAGAGCGCTAATTAAATGTGGTTCCATGTTAACCGCACTACTAGAATCTCCATTATATATTTTAGCTACCTTTGATAACAAAATATATCCTTGATTCTTTTCTAGTACTTCCTTAAACTTTTTATTTATAAGTTGTGCTATTTTTCCCTTTACTTTTTTAATGCGTGTTTGGAATTATATTATTTTCAACAGAAATAAAATCGTTAGAATGAGAACAGCGCCGGTGGGGGGAGCTAGTATCTGCTAAGATAGAACTCTGTAGGAAAAAGTTAAACTTAGTAGCTGTTAAGATAAATAAGACTGCTTTTGGCAAATGTGATCCCTCTAATAAAATAGAAGGTGGGTGGGCGGGGTTAGTACCTGCTAAAATAAGATCGATTTTAGCAAATGAAATACCCTCGAAAAATAGAGAGTGTGGATGGGCGGAGCTAGTACCTGCTAAAATAAAACGGATATTGGCAAATGAGATACCTCTAAGAAAAGAGAGGGCGGGTGGGCGGGGCTAGTACCTGCTAAAATAAGACCGAGGTTGGCAAATGTAACTCCCACCATTTTTTCAGAATCACCAATTGAAATGTGGCAACTTTTAGGATTATTAAAAAAAAGTAAATTTCAAACCGGATATTTCTAAAATCTCGTTCAAGAATGATAAAGACGCTACATTTTTCCAATTGGCATGTCAAAATGTACACCTCAGAATTGTTTGAGATTTTTTAAGCAACTTTTTCAAAAATTCAATTTTTCAATACATCCCATTTTGAAATTTTCAATTGTTTTTGACAATTTTCGAAATTTAACCAAAGATATTATCTTGTAGATTTCGACCTTTAGAAGTTAAAAACGCTGACACTTGCAATAAAAAGTGCGCGCTATGCTTTGAAAATCTAAAAATTGTCAAAATATGTGAAAATAATCAATCAATTCGTATTTACCTAATTCGCCTAGATCCGAAAGCATTTAGTTGTAGTATGAACAACTACATCAGAATGCAAATTTCGTAAATTCCGGACTCTAGTAATTATACATAAACGGGCAATTGATTAAACAAAAATGGATCGCATTTGACACCACTATCCTCCTACTCGTAGAGTGTAATTGGTGTAAGATCAGTTAATTATCGATTTTCTAATCTGAAATGTTATGAATCTTCGGCGAATTCGTCAACACGTGTTATTTTTGTTTCTTTTGTTTGTAAATTCAAAGTTCATATTAAGATTTTTAACTATTTATGTTACTTCTACAGCAAAATGTCTAAAAGTTCAGAATGTTTTTATTTAAGTTCTTATATTATAACATACTTCACTAGTACTCACTCGACATTTAATGATGACATTTAAACTCATCTTTCATCAATTAAATTCATATTGTCGTGGATTCGAAAACCGGGGGGTTTTAATACTTTCCTACTGACTCAATTTGAACATCTGTTCTCAAGTAAGTATTTGAGAAAATGATTTTAATCGTACTGAATATTGCTTATTATGTAAGATTTGTTGGCTCAAATCAATAATTTGAATTAATACATATTTTAATATCATGTAAATTCTTTGTTTGAAATTCTTGATAGAGTGTGGCATAATTTAATTTTGCTTGTTATAATTGTAACACTTATTTTACTACCGTCAAAATTTGGGAGATTTCAGAAGCACGGGATAACGACGCGGAGTACCTAGAACCCTCAGGAATGCGATTACTTAAAACGCACGTGGCGTGTTGAAGTTGTGGTTGGGACAAGTAGACATTCACGACAAGACGCCCTTCGCGCTGCTGCCATAATGCGTCACCATGCTACGTAGTTTGTTGTCTTTCAGCTGTTTTTTATTCGACTGATTATACTTTAAACTTGAAAAAATCATGTGCGCAACATGTTTGGAAAAGCTTTTTCTGTACACGGCGTGTTTCTAACCTAAACTTCGTTTCGGTGAAAAATAGCACACTTAATACGCAAAAACATTGGTTATCCTGTTTTATTGTACGAACAGCTATTATGAGCACTAAAACCTTATTGTTCAGATTTTAGTAAACAATACTCTTTTTAAATGTTTGAAAGAAAATATTACTCAGTTTTATTAAGAATAAGAGCAATTGTAAATGCGTTGGAACAGATAACAGGAAATAGGCAATGGATGTGAATTTAAAATTTCTCGCCAACTGGAGTGATAGTTAACTCATTAATCTGAAACAGAAAATTTCAGAAAACTATATGAAAATTTACACCTAATACCTGAACATTTTCAGAAGTGGATAAGACATATCCTACAGCCTCAGCAACATCCTCTGGATCTAGTATCGGCAAAGTGACGCGCAACTTTTTACGCTCCTCACTAAGCTCAGGATTAAGAGTTGTCATTTCACAAGTGACTAACCCAGGACTGAGACTCTACAAATAAAAACATAGAAAAAAAAACAACGAACCAAACAATCAAAACTTACAGTCGTTTTAATTTTAGAATCAATAGCATTCAACTCATGCCTCAGGGTCTCAGTCAAAGCGGTCACAGCATATTTACTCGCACAGTAAAGATTTATCCCGGGATAATTCAGCACTTTATGCCCAGCCACACTATTGATGTGAATAATATGCCCCTTGATGTTATTAGCAGACATTATCTTTACAGCCTCCCGAGTAGCAATACACAAACCCATGACATTCACATCCAAAACTTGTTTCCAAATCGCTGCATCTCCATTTCTTAAAAAATCCTCCTTCGAAACACCAGCGTTGTTGATGAGGATATGAACGTGGCCCAAATTTTCTTCGATCCATTTGAAGGCATTCAGTATGTCTTCTTCTTTGGTGATGTCAGTTTTAATAGCATGGAGTTTCCCTTTTTTGCCAGAGAGCTCTTTAGCTTTTTTCTCTACGCGTTCAGAACGACGAGCTAAACCAGCGACCTGAAGAAGGAGAATTAATTTGTTGTAATTGGGGGTTGAGTACTGACTATTAGTCCTTTGTCGACGAGGAAGTCTGCAATGGCTGCACCTATTCCAGAACTTGCTCCTGTCACTACAGCGACTTTTCCGACCCATCGATCTAGTGAAAGTACCATTTTTAACGGTTTTATGAATGATGTAAGGGTGGCCTTGACAGTGAACTGATGACTGTAGTTTCTAAACAGTGTGCTGTTATTGAAATTTGTTGATTTGGGTCCACACTAGACGATTCACCTAGAATTAATAAGATTATCTGTTTTATATGACAAATTTTTATTTAGAGGCAGATTACAGAGTGGACAACTAAGCACAATTATTTATATTTGTAAACATACAGGTAACTCGTAATCTAACTTTCAGTTATGAAACGCAGTTCTCTAACTACCTAGCAGAAAGTATATTTTAATTAGTTGATAACAACTCTGAACAAAAATTGTCAAGGACGAATTTTATATGAATATAGATAATAATATAAGTTTAATTGGGTCTTACCTTATCTATGAATGAGCAGCACCTATATCGACGATGGTCCAAAACCGTATCTGAAAATATTTTTGAAATGATTTTCCGCTCATTTGAGACTATATTTTAGTAATTTGTTAAAAAATATATATGTTAATTTGTATAAATGAATAAGACCAGCGAACAGTAAAATAAGTGTATATTGCTAGTAACAAGTGTTATGATAACTAAGAATTACAAGAATAGAATAGTATGACCGTGCGGTCGAGAGAGATGACTGTTCGTTACGAATTGTGAATTGCGAATGAATGTCTATGAATCAGTTAAGATTTTAGAATGAATGCTACCCTGTGTACCAAGGTGGGGGTGGCTCTGGCTCCCACCCTTATGGGTGGGGAGGGGTGAAACAGGGTCCCGCCAGAGGCACTAACATACCCCCCGCCTTGAAACAATTACATTGTTTTAATACCAAAATTATAGAATATTACAATGAATATTACATTACATGTAAGCCACCTGAAAGAGATTTACAACACATTATTAGGTACAATACGAGTGGACCAACTTTATTTACAAAACTGTGCATGTAGTGAGTTAGCAGTAAACCAGAACAAGAATTAATATGAGAACGAACTTATTTACAGTGTAAACCTAAGAGCTCACTTAAGCATCGCTAGTCCAATACTTAAACACTGGATCGACATATTGTTTCTGAATTAGCACTCTCATTGTCGACCGGTAGGGGGCATATTTTTGAAATGGCTCGTTTTATGATCCCATTTCGACACTGCACAGACACTACACGAACGAGATCGTCTTTACCGGGATGCACTTGCACTATTCTCCCTAACTGCCACTGAAGCGGGGGCAGGTTGTCCTCTTTGATCAGTACCAGAGTTCCGACGTCGGGCACGATTTTTGAGACGGTCTGCCACCTGGATCTCCCTTGCAGCGTCGTCAGGTACTCCGCGGACCAACGCTTCCAAAAATGTTGGCGACAGGATTCAATTAATTGCCAACGGGAGAGCCTGTTGTGAGGAATGGTAGTGTGGTCCCTTTCTACTGGAGCTGTCAATGGATGGCCAACGAGAAAATGGCCCGGAGTCAGGGCGGCCAAATCAGTAACGTCGCTGGATAGCGGCGTCAAGGGACGAGAATTCAAGACAGCCTCAATCCTGACCAAGAGCGTATACATTTCCTCGTACGTCAGATGGTTTTCCCCGATAACGCGCTTAATGTGAGTTTTTACGGATTTAATCCCCGCTTCCCACAAACCACCAAAATTGGGCGCACGCGGAGGGATGAATTTCCACGTAATATTTTCTTGTTTTACTTTATTTTGAAATTCTTTACCTAATAACAATTCCTTTAGCTCACGCTTAGTACCTACGAAATTCGTGGCATTGTCACTAATGATATATGAAATGTTACCACGGCGAGAAATAAGTCGTTTTAAAGCGTTAAAAAATGCATCGGTCGTGAGGTCACCTACTAATTCGAGATGGATTGCCTTGGTACATAAGCAAACGAAAAGGCAGATGTACGATTTGACAGTTCTTTTTCCTCTACCTCTTCCCTCTTTAATGAATATAGGGCCTCCGAAATCCACTCCTACATTACAAAATGGGCGGGCTGACATTAACCGTTCTTCAGGTAAATTCCCCATAATTTGAGTGTAAGGCTTAGGATTGACTTTGAAACAATTAATACACTTGTGTAAAACTTTACGGACTTGACTACGCCCGGATACAGGCCAATAGTTCAATCTTATTTGTGCCAGCGTACCTAATTGACCTGCGTGCAATAAGTGTTCATGCGTTTCTTTTATTATCACATCAGTTACATGATGCTTTGGCAGTAGAATAGGACATTTTTTATTGAAAGGCATGGTTGAAACATTTCTCAGTCTACCCCCAACCCTAATTAAGGCGTTTGAATCTAAGAAGGGATTAAGGGAAATGACATGACTATTACTGATTTTTTGATTTTTCTTTAACTGTCGGATTTCTGAGGAAAAAGATTCAGCTTGCAACAAGCGGATTATGGAGGTAGTGGCTTCTTTTAATTCTCCTAATGTCAAATTGCCAGTAACTTCAGGTTGTTTCTTTACGCGATTCTGCAAGTTTTTAATAACACGCTTCCAACAGGCTACAAAAGTTTTCAGTTTCGAGAAAGTGGAAAAAAGAGTGAAAATGACCATAGCGTCTTTGTTCCGTTGCAGGTTTATCGCGACAACAGTGCGTTTTTCAAGCGATGCCTCTGTTTGGGCTAGACTTTTTTCGTGTTCCCTAGAGGTATTGATTTCCAATTGATAAAGCCAAGATGGTCCACTTGACCATAATTGATGTTTCGCTAATTCTCTTGGATAAGCACCGCGCGTAATTATATCGGCTGGGTTGTCCCGACTATTCACGTGATTCCAAGTACAACCGTTCGTTAGGTCCTGGATTTCGGATACGCGATTTGCTACAAAGGTTTTCCAGTTACTAGGCTCCGCCGCTAACCAGGATAACACTATTTGGGAGTCGGTCCAGCAATAACAGTTCTCTGGAAGAATGCTTAACGTTTTTGATAGTTTGCAGAGAAGTTTGGATAGTAGTACCGCTCCACATAATTCGAGTCGGGGTAGCGAGATTGTCTTTAACGGGGCAACACGTGATTTTGCACATAGTAACCGTACCGATACATTTAACTGAGTATTGATGGATCTAAGAAAAATGGCCGCGCCGTAAGCTTGCTGTGAGCTATCGCAAAATCCGTGGATTTCTAATTTGATAGGGTCCTTACAAATTACCCGTCTGGGAAATTGAAAGTTGTTTAGAAATGCTAATTCGCGCACAAAAGCAACCCATATTTTGTGCATGTGTTCAGGTAATTCGTCGTCCCAATTTAGTTTCAAAGCCCATAGCTGTTGCATAATGATTTTAGCCTTTGTTACTACCGGATTGACTAAACCAAGCGGATCAAATAATTGCGATATGGCGCTCATTACAGATCGTTTGGTGACCTTTGTCACCGAAAAAGTAAACCCGGCATAGGAAAACGAATCATTTTGGTTATCCCACCTGATACCTAAAGTTTTATTATTGTGTTGTTTGTCCGTTATTAAGCGATTACCGCTGGATGTAGGCTGAGTGCATTCTTGTATATTGGGACAATTAGACGACCATTTGCTTAACTCGAAGCCTCCCTTTGCCAGAACGGCCTTTAATTCGTCTTTGGTTTCGATTAACTCGCTTACTGAATTTGCACCGAACAATGCATCATCGACATAAAAGCAATTGTTTATTACATTATGTGCTAAAGGAAAAGAAGCTTTTTCATCGAACCCTAACTGCTGAACACATTTAATGGCCTGATAAGACGAGGACGTTAGACCATACGTTATTGTTTTGAGTCGGTACGTTTGGATGGGAAGTTCAGTAGATTCTCGCCACACAATTTTTTGGTAATTGCGGTCGTCGGGGTGAACCCAAACGCACCGGTACATCTTCGATATGTCACATGTTATGACGAACTGTGGTAAGCGAAATTGAATTAATATGGTAAAAAGTTCGGGTTGTAAAACGGGGCCTGTTAATAAATTGTCGTTTAGACTTAAGTTGTTTGAACTAGGACATGAACCATCGAAAACCACGCGCAATTTAGTGGAAGAGCTATTCGGATTTACAACGCAATTGTGAGGAAGGTAAAAGGATTTACTGGATGAATCATCCTCTACAACCTCCATGTGTCCAAGTGCCAAGTACTCCTTCATAAAGGAAGTATAACCCTCATTAAGTTTACGGTCCCGACCCAACTTTCTCTCCATAGACAATAGCCGTTTTAGGGCCATCTCTTTGGAATTTCCTAATTGCGGCGGATTCTTCGAAAAGGGGAGTCTCACCACAAAGCGACCATCGGGTGAACGGCCTGTGGTATCTTTAAAGTGGGTTTCACAAAGCGTACTTTGTGAATCCTTTTTAATAGGTTTGTCGGCGGCTTCAACGGTTTCAATTTCCCAGAAACGCGAAATTCTCTCGTCCAGACTGATTTTATAACAACAGGAAGGATTATTTTCTAAGCCCCTCAAAGTACCGCCAAGAATCCATCCAAGTACTGTATTCTGAAGCACTGGTTGATTTTTTCCCAATTGAATTTTACCGTTAGTCAGCAAGTGCAAAAATAACTCTGCTCCAATTAACATATCCACAGTTGCAGAAACATGCAATTTCGGATCAGCCAATTTTAGATTTTTGGGCAACTTTAAGTGGTTTATATTAAAATTGAATGCGGGCAAATTATCGGTAATTTTTGGAATAATTAAACACTTAACCACTGCACGAAATTCGGAAACTCGGCTAATTATTTCGAGCTCGGCACATTTCGAAAGCCTCGTCTCGCTGTTGATACCTACGATTGACATATTGATGTTATTAATATTTAATTCTAAAGCCTTGCACAAATCTTCGGTGATAAAATGAGATTGACTCCCGATGTCCAACAACACGCGACATTCTTTTACTTTCCCTGACGGACCCTTTACGTGAATCAACGCGGTGGACAAAAGTACACTAGACGTAATAGCTAAATTACATTTTGACGTGTCTTCAGCATTATCGGAATCCTCATCTGGTTTATCTTTTATTTCATTTTTGGTCGGGTTATTGTTTGTTTCCGCGTGCAAAAGCGTGTGGTGCTTCTTATGACATTGTTTACAACGCGTTAATGTGTAACAACTTTTAGCAAAATGATTAGTTCTTAAACAATTGACACAACGATTCATTTTCCTTATTTGTTCCAACCTATCGTTGGGCGTCAAACTTAAAAAATCTGTACAATTGAATATATTGTGCATTTGGGAACATATAAAACACGGGATTGATTGATTACTGTTAGCATGGACTTTGTTTATATTTGATGACTGAAAAACATGCCTTTTAAGTGAAGCATTCACATTTGGTCTGGGAGTAATAATCGGTTTTCCTTCGTTACGAAATTTGTGTAAATTAATTGACTCTAAGTTTCGGCAACGTTTTTCTAAAAATGAAAGTAATTCCGCTTGCCCGGGAATGGTGTTAAATTCAATAGATTCCTCCCATGCCGCACTGGAGAAATGATCTAGTTTGGAGGTCAATATGTAAACAATGACGTCCCCCCATTGATCGACAGGACGCCCCAATGCCTTTAACGTATTTAAATTAATTTGCGCTTGGTCTAGAAAACCGCGCAAAGACTTAGAATCATTTTTATTCACGTGAGGAAGGTCGAAAATATTTTTTAAGTGGTTATTGACTATAAATCTTTTGTTTTCAAATCTTTGTTTCAATAGATCCACGGCAATAGCGTAGTTATTATTGGTTGTTTTAAGACTTTCTAACGTTTTCCTTGGTTCGTCACCTAAAGACGATTTTAAATAATGAAACTTTTGGGATTCAGTTAGCGATTCGTTGTTACCTATTAGGCTAGAAAACGTGTCGAAAAATGACCCCCATTCCGTAACATCTCCACTGAATTTAGGGAGGTCTATTTTAGGCAATTTAACCCTTATATTGCATGCGTTGGAGAAGGTAGGGGAAGAAGATCGAGATGCCGCATCACCTTTTCTTATGAGCTCGTCGAAAGTTCCATGCAATTTAAAAATATCCTTCAAAGTATCTCTGAAATTATAAACGACAGGTTCGCTAGGTTCCTCGCTATCCGCGTCATCCGTAATTAATAAAGTGTCCGATTTATGTTCAGCCATAAGGCCTAATACCGCCGATTGTACCCGTTTTAAGTCCTCCAACCTGCATCTTAATTCGCCTATTTTTTGGTGGTTTGTAACTTCTGAGATAAAATCCTCATGTGAACGCACGTCGTGAACCAGAAGGATAAATTTACAGAGAGAATCGTTATTCGGCATCGTCGGTACGAGATTAATGCACTACGTAAATGGACAAAACTAAAGCCTACCTGAGTTTCTCGATGAATGACCCTGGATGATTTGCACTGCACTCGCGGCCGTTACCGATTGTTGAACACTGCGCGGATGATTTCTGGGTAATGTTTGATAACTATTTTGCTGAATTCCAGCCGAGGAATGATACGTTGAGAATTACACTTATCACTACCACTGTTATTCTGTCGCTGATCCGGCTCGAAGGACCATGTTAATTTGTATAAATGAATAAGACCAGCGAACAGTAAAATAAGTGTATATTGCTAGTAACAAGTGTTATGATAACTAAGAATTACAAGAATAGAATAGTATGACCGTGCGGTCGAGAGAGATGACTGTTCGTTACGAATTGTGAATTGCGAATGAATGTCTATGAATCAGTTAAGATTTTAGAATGAATGCTACCCTGTGTACCAAGGTGGGGGTGGCTCTGGCTCCCACCCTTATGGGTGGGGAGGGGTGAAACAGGGTCCCGCCAGAGGCACTAACAATATACATATAATTTTTTTCACTTCACCAACCCTCTGTTTGAGTGGTACAATATTTCCCCCACCCCCTAATGTTTTTTTTAATTTTTTCAACACTCTTCGCTTTTTGGCCACTTTATAGTCCTTACCTAATATCTTTTGCAAAATTTCTTACAGTATCACTAGAATACTGAATTCCTACTATTTCTGTAAGACACAAGTTACACAGAAAAACTTCACCAAGTAAAATTTCGAGCACGTGTATTTATATTTATGTGGAAGGTTACGCAATAACAAGCTACATTGTGCAACGTGAAGTAAGTGAACGAAATGTGTTTTAAATCTCCAGCCGGTCCAAAATCACGCTGTGTGGTACTCGATACTGCATGAAGTAGATTCGACTGCGCAGGTACCCTAGTAATTTCAATTAATTTGCGTGGAGTGTTTCTCTCTGAATTTTTCTGTTTTCGTTAACTTTTCCTGCTTCCCGGAAGTGGCGTATTAACATCCTAGAATATGGTAAAGTTGGTCGCCAGTTTCGTTGCCGACTTTATTAGACAGATGTTTGTGAAATTTTAAGAATTTGGGGTAAATTTATCTGATCATCAAAAATTTGGTGACGACGTGTGAAAATTTTGCTAAATAAATCCTAATTAAAATGTGGACGGCAAATGTTTACTAAAGGTGTGATTTGTCAAATATTTACACTCCTATTTTTAACGCTGTCAATGTAGATAATTACGAAAATATTCAAAACTGCATAACGAAATTTTGGACAAGCTTTAAAATTTTCGTGAATACAGTAAAACGCTAATTTTGTACTTATGGTTTAATAATGGATCAAATTTTTAATATGTAGTACCTATGGGTGGTCATAAAAGAAAATAAATTTTGCAAGAGCAATTTTAAAGTTCGTGTTAGAATATACGAGAATTGTTTTGAAATTTAAAATATTCAAATTTGTTAAATAAATGTGTTAAAAAAGTACTAATCAGTGAATCAAATAATTTTATCGTATAGTAGTAGGTTTTGGGGAGATTATACAACCGTTTTGCGAGAGACAAATTCAGTATTATTAACAAGTGATGTAATGTAATCTAACTATAGATACTACTAATACTTCTAATGACAATACGATTTTTTAAGCTAAATGAGCTGTCAATTTGGATTCACCTTATTCTTACTTTTATGAATTTGTTGCTTCTGTAAGATAAAACATCGCATATTGTACGTGAGCGAAATGTCATTATAAGTTCGTGAGAGCAGTATCACTCGCTATAATATAGCTTTCCTCTCACTTATAATTTAAAATACTATTGTACTTTTTGATCAATGGGTGCGCTATTATAGTATAACGTTTATCCCCACGACCCAAAACATCTAAAAGAATATTTGTCGACGCTAACCAGTTTGGCATTATCTAGACAAAGCTAAACTCAACTTAAACTATAACTAGGCGCTTATTTATACCCTAACGAGGACTCGCCCCACTTGAACACCAACAACGGTGTGATTTTCAAAAGAAGATGTTCCTGACAATTAATTGATAGCTTCACAAGAAAATTATTTCACAGCAAAGGAAATTAGGAAAAATGGGTTGTTCTTCCAAGAAAGCGGAGCCTCCTTTGAAGAACATCAACACTGTTGAGAACCAATTTCACAAACTTTTAATGACAGTGAATTAGAACTTTTGAATCGTGGTTCGAAATACTGCGACCAATCCGTCCGGAAGTGGAAGAGGTCATTTCTGAAATAGAAACATATTTCAGAGAGGATCTGCAAGGCAAAATTTTGAGATGAAGTCAGGGAATAGATAAACGAATAGATTTTAATTATCCATTTACCCTAGTTGCGGTAGCTTTAAAACGTTTGCAAAATTTCAGAGCGCAGTTTTACAGTTTCAAAGATAAGTTGCAAAATGTTGTTATATAATTCTGATTTTTTTTTCAAACAATTTGGATGTCTATCTAGGCTGAAAATTCAACACGGATTCATACATCACAAGTGCAGGATTAAGAGAAAAGTATTATTGTAAATTTTGGAGATGACTGCTATATACTGTACATTGTGTTGTATATTATAGCGTATTCGGTGTGTCAGGTTGGCAAGGGACAGCAGTTGCAACATGGCCGCCGAGACACAGAGTACAGATGTCTTTGTCTTCCTTGGTTTCTTCTTGGAATACTTTTCTTTTTTCTGGAGTTACCGCTAAATGCTTGGATACTGTTTCAGTATCATTCTCTGTAATATACTAGTGACTTTCGTTATCTCTTTCTTCAGTATCGCTTCCAGAGGTTTATGATCACTCTGTACTGTAAACTTCTTTCCATAAACATAATAATGAAACTTTTCTATAGCATACACAATCACTAACAGTTCCTTTTCTTTCTGTGCCATCTTCTTTTCACTTTCTGTTAGTGCTCTAGAAGCGTAAGCAACTGGATGTTGATTTTGCAATAAGCACGCTCCTAAACCATTTCCTGAGGCATCCGTTTGAATAATTATTGGAACTTTCTGGTCATAATACGAGAATACTGGTGCTTTACATAACAACTGCTTCAGCTTTTCCAAACTCTCTTGATGCTTCTCATTCCAAACCCATTCTATATCTTGTTTTAACAACTCTCTTAAGGGTGCGTTTAACTCAGCTAAGTTTGGTATGAATGTTGAAAGGTAATTGATCATTTCCAAAATTCTCTTCAATTCTTCTTTGCTCTTTGGTGTCTCTACTGCTGCAATTGCTTTAACTTTTTCTGGATCTGCGACTAATCCTTTTTCACTTACTATGTTACCTAAAAATTTCACCGCTTTTACCTTAAATTGAAGTTTATTCTTGTTGAATTTCACTTTATTTTTCTCAGCTCTTTTCATTACTTCTCCTAAAATTCTACCATGTTCTTCTTCTGTACTTGCTGCTATTATTAAATCGTCAAATATTATGTTAACTCCTTCAATATCTCCAAATATCTGTACTATTTTTTTCTGAAATCAATTTTGTCTCTAATAAGACTGTCTCTTTGTTCTCCAAACTCACATGTTGCTGTTTTGTTTCTTAACTCTATTAGAAATGTCTCAAACGGCTCACCCTCTCTTTGGCTGGTATTGAAGAGATTGAATCTTTCTACAGTTAGATTCAGTTTCGGTTCACACACTTCTTCAAACTTCTTCATTACTACGTTGAAACTCTTTTTATCCTCTTCCGCTTCGTACTTGAAATTGTCATACATCTGTTGTCCATCTTCTCCTATGAGATTTATCATTATGGCAATTTTTCTTTTGTCCTTGACACCATCCATCCCAGATGCAACTAAATAATTTTCGAAACATTTCTTCCAAGTTTTCCAATCGATGTTTCGATTCCCCTTTATGATCAATTTTCCGGGTTTATTGTAGAGATCGCCCATTTTGGAGGTTCTGTTTAAACTTGGTTTCCAAACTTGTCCAAATTTTTTTATTTCATTTGAAAATCTTCACACCTGACACCATGTGATATACTGTACATTGTAAGAAACTCGATTATAACAAAGGATGTTTATTGATGATCCTGGCTAATACAAAAATAACATTAATTTTCAAAGACTCTGTGTCTTGGCGGCTATGTTGCAACTGCTGTCCCTTGCCAACCTGACACACCGAATACCCTATAATATACAACAATGACATCATCCCATTGGTGGTGGATATAATTATCCACATTTTAGTCAGCGTTTTACCATCCACATGATATTCTCAATCTAGATACAAAATTTGACAACAATCGGTCCAGTAGTTTCGGAGATTACGTGTCTAGTAAAAATCGACGCAGACGCTCATGGAATGTCGTGAAAACATGAAAGCGGCTTTTATATTAAAGCTGGGGAGGGTAATAAAGTCGTTATTTTAGATAAAGAGAACTATTTTAATCTTCTTATTGAATTGGTCCTTATGAGTCAATTGTGAAAAATACATTACCAAAGATGATCAGAGAAGTAAACAGTTCAAAATAATGAACTACTTCATTACCCCTGGACTAAGGTTTAAGTTGCACGTTGCTAGAACTAACTTTGTAGTTCCTAAATTGTATTGTGTCTAAAATTCACAAACTTGGTAAATCGATACTACCAGTTGTCTCTGAAATTAACTTCCAAGGTCCCGAAGTGGTTAACAAACGAATTTAAAACTCGCCAATCAACTAAGCTTTGCTATTAAAAATTTCTTAGACCGCATTTATCACATTAAAGACATTGTTTTGGAAGATAACAGAGTGTGAACTCTTTGCTCGAGAGTGCAATAAAAATATAAACAATAATAATAAAGGGGTGAGATTTCCGTGGAAAATATTCCAACATTTGATATTGAAGAAAAGATCAGCCATGAAAGGTGATAACGAATTGCACATTCCCGCTTCGTCATGCTTTTGAAAAAATTGTCGGTTAAATTGAAAAATATTTTGTTTTATACAGACGTCGTTTAGTTGAACATATTCTTCAATGATTTGTTGCTCCAAGCTATGTTAAACCAACAATTTTTCTAAACAGACTAAGGTTTGCGGTATTAGGACACTTGGAAAAAGCAAACAAACATCTCAGGAAACTAATATTATTATTGTTAAAAGTATTTGAAACACTTCGTCAATTACATTTTCTGTAAATATACACTTTAATTCTTCCCTCCTACATGCTCCGCTTATTTCATCAGATCATCGCTATCTAAAGCCAAAATTGTTGAATTTAAGAAATCGTTAGGTTAAGACTTTTAGTTTTATTTATAGACTGTATTAATATTGCTTATAGACACTCAATAATTTTTTATTTATCTTCTAGTCTCTAAATTTTCCCCTACTCTACCAAATATAACCTGAGTGTTTCAAATGTTCTAGAAAAATTCGATAAGTCGTTTACAAGGTAATCGATAAAATCAATATGTTTTGATACAATAATATTGTTTTGCCTTAATCTTAAAATCGCCGTGAAAAATAAAATATTTTATTTTTCACTCGTATATAATGTTTGTTTTATATCCATGATTTGATAAACGTAAAGCGGCATCTTATATCCGGGGCACAATGAGCGGGCATAAAGAGTTATTACGCCCTCTCATTATGCTAAACCGAATTAAACAAAAATTTAAAAAAATTATTGTTTATTTTTAACTACTTATTTATTTTTTGACAATTTATTTAATAACGAAGATACAAATTACAATTTACAAACTTGCTATTCATACCAAACTATTTATTCAGGTAAACTTAAACTTTTCGGAGGTGCCTCTATTGGAATTATTTCTGCCACTGCTTACATTCTGCTAGCACCGAATAACGTATTATATAAAAATCTTGAATTGTGTTCACTCATCCTCCAACTACCTTTGCAGCATAAAACATTCGTATTTAAATTAATTACAATCGTCAAAAAATAACTTACTTTACCTTCTGAAGTAAATATCTGTTGTCGGAAGCATCTTTTAGAAATTGCATGACTTGTTCGCCAGTCAAAACTCGGGATTTTTTTGCCACATAACCTTTTGGGTTTTTTTATAGAAATATGTCAAACGATGATAATTAGAAATGTCTATGTTGTCGTTTACTCTTAAAGTTGTCTTGATCATCGAGTATTTTCACCATAAGGAACTGGGTGAATATTTTTCTGACTCAAAATGAAGAACGCAGTTAAATAATTATTTTATAAACAGAATAACTCACCAATTCTTGGAAGTAAGCCACTTCTTAATCTTCCAATTAAGGAAAATTTTGTATTATTTTTCATATATGGATCCTGATGTTCCAGGTAACACATTTTCATTGGCTTTTTGTGCTTTCTTCACAATGTTTTCTGGAATTTCACAATTTTCCTCATTCATTTCCGCGGTCGAAAATATACGTGTTGACACCGTGAATAGACGCCGTGTTTGCAATAAACATAGAATCTCCTTGGCAACAAAATCAACGCCACGTAAATTTTTTTTTACGAATTAATTATATAAATTAGTCTTTTTTTTAGATTTTCTCGTGAAAAATAAAAGTTTGTATGCACCATGGGCACAACTTGATGTTTATAAATCTCGGGCAACTTACAAAATCTCGGGCCAGAGGCCTCGAATTTGTAAACGTTGCCCTCGAATATAAACATCTTCTTTGTACCCTTGGTACATAAATAACTATTTCTTCAAACCGGGAATAAAATGATGCTTTATACCCTAGGGAATAAGTAAGAACAATTTAAGTGAAATACCAAATTTTATTCTTTTATGAATTAACATTAACATTTACATTACTAATAACCAAGAATTCATTATTTCTATTACCTACGACTGCAACTTTGCTGGTCTTGCTAGTTGAAGTTTCGTCTCTGCTGGTTGAAGCTGCATTTTCATAATCGGTGAACATCTATTTTGCAATTAGCGTTTTACTTTGAGCCGAAGATTCTATGTAGTCTTTTGCAACATTTCCAAATTTCCAACCGCTTTACAGTCGTTTAATCAGCACCGCTGTCTGCCAACAAAGTGGCTGATGTTCTTCTCATACAGTGTCCAGTATATAACTTAGCATCAGAAAGCTTCAAATACTTTGCAATAATCAATGGTCTTTTGCCTAAAGTATTTTTCCTGTTACAGTTCAATTAATTTCAGCGATTATTTGTCCTTAGGATTTACAATACCAAAAGACCGATCAGTCCTGCTTTTTGTATCTCTGACGTTAACAATTATAACTGCTCCTTCGTCTCCAATATCACCTACTGATAAATTTAAGAGTTCTTGAACCCTTGTCGCTCCAACAAAACCCATCATTATGCCCACCTATGTACCAGCAACACATCTTCAGAAGAAACACTGTTCACACTAATTCAAGAATTGTTGGTAAGCCTTTTTATACACATTTTTCAATTTCTCCGGAAGCAAATTGGACGTTACATCTTTAGCTCTTGCAGTAATGGCCAAAGGTATATCAAATTCTTCAATGTTCATTTTTTCAATTTATGAATGATTTTATTCATAAAATTAACTGCTACATCATTTTCGTTTGTAATTTATTGTTAATTTAACCGGTTGGGAGGAAAGTTTTGTATGGAATAAACTTTCTTAATCCCTCGACTGAACTTACAGCCTCGGGATTAATATGGCAGTTTATTTCTCTTGATACATATATGAGTATTATTTAAGTGCTAGCACATCTAAATTTTTGTGGGAAAAGTCTCAACTCATACACATTTAAATCAACAGATTATTATCAGGTTATCAGTTATCACTAACTCAACAACAAGGTTTTGGGAAAATTTTAAAGACGTGTAGGATGTAGTTGCTTAGAAAAAAAAATGTATTTGACGATTGTATATGTTTTAAACAATGCTATGTATTGCCGAAAAAAATAATTCCAAATTCTAGTGCTCGAGAACAAGCCAAAATAAGGCGTGAATGAATGATAATTATTTTGCGGAAAAGGTGGACAAACAAGTTTTTAGTAGAGTATTGTCATTTTAAATGTACTTTATTTAGAAACTTTTTATTTTTTCAAAACTACATCCATATACTTGGATTGGAATACAGGTAGTGCATGTGATTTGAAAACTACTCTCCAACTGGTGTCATGGTCAATTCATTAATCTGCAACTCAAAGATTTCAACATATAACATGACGATTTTCAAACCAATACCTGAACATTTTCAGAAGTGGATAACACATATCCTACAGCTTCCGCAACATCTACTCCCTTTAGTGCTGGCAAAGATTTAAATAAATTTTGGCGCTCTTGACTAAGCTCAGTGTTTAAAGTTGTCATTTCACTATCGGTTAACCCAGGACTAATACTCTACAATTAAAAGTGTCACAAATAAAAAGAACGAACTAATCAAAACTTACAGTTGTTTTAATTTTAGAATCCACAGCGTTCAGTTCATGCCTCAGAGTCTCAGTCAGAGCAGTCACTGCGTGTTTACTCGCAGGATAAACATTACTCCCTGGAAAAGGCAGCACTTTATGACCCACTACGCTGTTGATATGAATAATATGGCCGTTGATGTTATGACCAGACATTATCTTAACAGCCTCTCGAGTTGCAATGCACAACCCCAGAACATTTACATCGAAAATTTGTTTCCAGAGCGCTGAATCTCCATTTCTCAACAGATTGTCTTTAAAAAGACCAGCATTGTTGATAAGGATATGAACGTGGCCCAAATTTTCTTCAATCCACTTCAACGCATTCAGAATATCTTCTTCTTTTGCGAGGTCAGTTTTAATAGCATACAGTTTTCCTGTTTTACCAGAAAGCTCTTTGGCTTTTTTCTCTACGAGGTCGGAGCGACGAGCTAAACCAGCGACCTGAAGAAGAATAGTTATTCTGGTATAGTTGGTGTTTAAGGACTAACTATTAATCCTTTGTCCACGAGGAACTCTGCAATGGCTGCGCCTATTCCAGAACTCGCACCTGTCACTTTTCCGACCCATCGATCCAGCGAAAGCACCATTTTTGAGCGTATTTTTTAAGAGGAAGACTCACGATAAATAATATAATGGTGCCCTTGATTGATGAACTGCTGAGTGTGCTTTCAAATCAATATGTTGTTGCTGGAATTAATAAGATTATTTGTTTTATAATAATTCTTTGTTTATTATTTTTTCTTAACAAGTTTATTTTTTCCCACGCTCTTATTTCTCCACCCTATTGATGACTTTATAATCCTTACGTACCTAATTTTTGTGCAGAAATTTCTGGAAGTATCACTACAACACTGAATTACTACTATTTCTGTAAGGCGCAAGATATGAGGAAAACTGTATCGAGTCAAACGTCGAACGCGTGTATTTATATATTGACATGCGGAACGTTACACAACAAGCAACATTGTGCAACCTGAAGGAAATGAACGAAGTGTATAAGTTTCCAGCCGGTCGAAAATCGTCCTCTATGGTCCTCAATGCTGAATGAATTAGATTCAACAACAGAGGGGTCCTTGCAATTTTTCGAAATTGGAAAGTCGGTTTAATTTAACTTCCTGTGGCGTGTTTTTTGTCTCCGTTTTGCTGTTTCGCTAATTTCGACGTACACAAGTTAAAGAAGTGTGGTCGTAGGGCCTAGAATACGATAAAGTTGGTCGCCAGTTTCTCTCTGTTGGTGATTTTATTAGACAGATAAAAATTTCAAAACTTCATTTAAAAATTTTACTAATTTAAAATATAAAACAGTATACATATTGTTTATACAGCCATGTGTTTTAACAAATAGACCCCTAGTTTTGTCCTTATGAATTTTGCACACACTTTAAGATTTTTGTGAATACAGTAAAGCACTAATCTCTTATTTATGATTCAATAAGGGATTAATTTAATGATTAGAAAACATTAGAATGATCAAAATATATTAAATAAATTAAATAAAAAATGTCAGCCCATAATTTATTTAGAGAGTGCATGTACATATTATGTTATTATTATATTAATAAAACGTCGAATTATAACAGGTGTTGCTTATAGATAGTCACTAATTTTTATCTAGTCAATAACACGTTTCTAAGGTGATCAATAAATAAATACGTTGTTTATCTGCGGCTTACATGATAATCACTTATCATTACGGCTGTCTGAGTTATGTAATCTTCAATATTATTTCACTAATCGTGTAATGAAATTCATTACACAATTCATTTTGATTTTCAAGATTAAATTTATAAATATAAAGATGGAACATTTTATTTAAGTAAACTGCAAAAACACACACGTCCCTATAAACAATAATAACAATGTTTTCGTAATTGGATATAGTCCCAAACATATCAATGTGTACAGGTTGCATTGTACAAAAACCTTCCTGTATCCAACAAAAAACTTTCCTTGGTTGGTATGCTGGGGACGTAACGCCAGATATTCCCTAATTATTTCCACCATATCAAGTCTCTGGATGCCACCGACCGCTTGAAAAAACTCTCTAGAAATTTTGGTTTTCATGTTCGGGATTGTATGTGGAGAACCAACCCTTCATCCTTAATTAGTAAGTAAAAACTGCGTATCTTCAGCTTATTTCAGGAACTTTCCAATCTCATTATTAGTAAATATTTTTGACTTCTTGGGTCTGTAGGCTTCTGACTACCTTTTTAAAAATACAATCAACTGCTTGTATTTTCGTAAGTCAATTTCGTAGAAATTGTTGCCCTTCGTATTGAATAGAAAACCCAAGCACTGGATGATCTGTACTTTTTCGTCAGAACGCTAGCACAACCTTCTCACTGGTTACATTTTCCACTTTTTTTCGCGTTACACCGTTTCAGATACCGCTCGTAAGTTTTTTCATACTTCAGTTTTGATTTTGCTGGTAATAAGGCAGAATAGAATTCGTGTCACGAAAAACGTAAAATTAAGCGTTGGTTTTTATTAGTTTTGTATCTTATCTCAGCGGTCGTAGATAAAATGTTGTACATCACTCGTGGGCTAGAGCATATTACACTACTTGTGTGGTTACACAAGTTACACACTTGTGTAATGATGCTTCTACCCGACTTGTAATGTAAATAACTATTTCGTACAATCGTTTTGTTGCATGTACCGACTGACTATTAATGTTTGTAATTGTTGTGTATCAGGTTGAGAACTCATTTAAAATTTTATGATAGCATGCCTGATTGCCGAAGTGACATTTATAATAGCTGCCATCGTCTCAACTAATCAACACGTTTGTTAGTCGTGTTGATGTCAAATCTGACAACTATGAACTGACGTACTAATATGACTAACAGAGTTGCTAATAATAGTCATCTGGTATTTACTGTCATTCTTGACTTAATTTCAAAGTTATCAGCTTTGACTGGACGCTAAAACGTATTCATCGTTTCGATAACTACTGCAGTTGTGAACAATATTTGCATGTGGATGAATGTACAGATAGTAAGCAATGTGTGGAATAACTGAAATATTTTTTAACATCGAAAGATTGTACTATGAACAAAAAAATAAATTACAACATCATGTCAGTATTCGACTTCATCCTCACAGATTCGTTAATTTCAAACGAAAAAAATTCCCTTGATAAATTCATTCTAGACGCATATTTTAGATACAATCTCTAGATGGACACCTTGTAAATGTAGTAAATGGATTTTAAATTGTATAAAATAACATAGTCCTACACATGTAGTTTATGACTCCGTATTGAGGTTTTTTTTTGGAAAAAAATCACAATTATAAAACAACATTTTGCCCAGGGGCCATGCTAATCTTCTCTGTATCGTTCCAATTTTAGTATATGTATCGCCGAAGCGAACCCTAGGCTGACGAACTGGGCTTTATACAACGAAGAACTCGACGACAGACTGGGGACCTCCGCGCAGTCTATACCAACAGAATACAAATCGACAGAAGACATAGAGAAAACCTTGACCATTATCAACGACTCTCTAATGTCAGCGTATGAGAAAAGTTGCCCCCTAAAGAAGGAAGGTCTGGGCAAGGTACACCATGGTGGAACCGAAGGCTCAGCCTACTTCAATCGGGGCTAAGAAAACTTTTCAATGGAACAAAAAACACTAAGAAAACTGAAGACTAGAGATCCTTCTGCAGCGACATAACGTCAATTCTTCGGCCGAAAGGCTGAAGAGAGTTCTCTCGAAGGATCACACACATCAACTAGGTTTCCTAAAGAAAGAAGATGGCACCTTTACAGCCGCCTTAGAAGAGTCCGCAGAACTTTTGCTGCAGACCATGTTTCCAGACAGCACAATGTAGCCGATACTCAACCTTCTCCGAAGGACTGTGCGATGGCGGCAAAGGTAGTCACGGAGGCAAGACTGGAGTGGGCAGTGGGCAGCTTTTCCCCATATAAATCTCCGGAAGTTGACGGTATTTATCCTGCCCTCCTGCAGAGGGGAATGAGCAGACTACGCCCTATTTTGTTGCCAATGCTTCGGGCGTGTCTGGCTTTCAGCTACATACCGAATGCATGGCGAAAAGTAAAGGTGATCTTTATACCTAAGCCAGGGCGACAAGAGTACACCTTGGCTAAATCTTACAGACCAATTAGCTTAACATCATTCTTGCTGAAAACGCTAGAAAGACTAAGCGAAAAAGAGATTCGGGAGACCGCTTTGAGCAAGCTACGTGTACATCCGAACCAACATGCCTACATCCAAGGAAGATCCACCGATACGGCCCTACACACAGTTGTAAACCGTATAGAATGGGCGATGGAAAACAAACTCTTCACCTTAGGAATGTTTTTGGATATTGAAGAAGCGTTTGATAAAACAACCTTCAAAAGCATAGAACTAGCCCTACGAGAGCACGACGTGGACCCCACCCTAAGTATGTGGGTGGCACGTATGCTGAGGAATAGGGAAGTACTGATTAATGTTGGTGGCACTGAGATCGAGGCTGTTGTAGGCAGGGGATGTCCTCAGTTCTCTCTCCTGTACTGTGGGATACTGTCGTTGACAGCCTGATACGACGCCTCAATGATCTTGGCTACCACACAATTGGATACGCAGACAATCTAGTCATTCTGCTAACAGGAAGAAACGCAGATACATTATGTGAAATAATGCAAGCTGCAGTAAAAATAGTCGAGGAATGGTGCAGCAGGCATACCCTCTCCGTTAATGGAGAGAAGACGAAACTAATCCTGTTTACTAGGAAAAGGAAAATTGGCACACTATAGATGCCAAAAATATTTAACACAACGCTTCAACTTTCGGACGAAGTCAAATACCTGGGAGTTGTATTGGACTGGCGACTGAATTGGAAGAAGCATGTAGATGATAAATTGGAAAAAGCACGCTCGCCTCTTTGACAATGTCGTAGGGTGGTGGGAAGGTCGTGGGGTTTAAATCCCAAGATCGCCCTCTGGACCTACACGGCAATAGTCAGACCGATGCTGTGCTATGAAGCTTTAGTTTGGTGGCCCAGAGCCAGACAAAAAACAACAGCCCTGCAACTTGAACACGTTCAGAGAATGGCTTGTCTCAGTGTTACAGGAGCAATGAGGACTCCCACAGCGGCTCTGGAGACTCTTCTTTGCTTAGCACCTTTTAACCTTTACTTAGAGAAAGCGGCAATGAGGACGTCTCTAAGACTTCACTCTCTGGGAGTATGGAACAAGCAAGGCCGCACAACGAAGCACACTCGAATCTTAACGGAGGCGTTCAACAGATATATTAAGGATGAGCTGTGACCGAATGGGCACAAAACTAATATATGAGAAAACATATAGAATATATATCAATGAATGATAATTCAGAAGGAAGAACCGACATCGATATCTATTTTGATGGTGCCAAAACAGACAGTGGTTCAGGAGCCGGCATCTACTCCGAACAACTGAACGCACAAATCAGTGTATCTCTCGGCACCCACACTTCTGTCTTACAAACAGAATTGATAGGAATAATGCTAAGAGCTAGAATCGTTGCCGAACGTGAAATCGGCAACAAATCAATATGCATTCTTACTGACAGCAAGTCTGCACTACTAACCCTGGACAGCTGTATGGTTCGATACGGGCTGGTTTGGGAGTGCAGACAAACGCTAAGGTATGTACGTAGAGGAATAGTGTGGAACTTTGTTGGATCAAAGGACACAGTGGCAACGAAGGAAACGAGAGGGCAGATGAGATAGCGAAGTGAGACGCGCGCATGCCCTTCTGGGGACCCAAACCGGCAATCACGCCTTCGGCCGCCCTCTCGAACGAACTCGTAAAGCAATATACCCATAGACGCCATGAGCAGATATGGGCGACGTTGAGCAGCTGTCGGCAAAGTAGAGCTTGTATGGCAACACCAGATCGTAAGTTGACGAAATTTTATCTCTCACTTTCAAGGGACAAACTGCGCAAACTGGCAGGATTCCTTACGGGACATTACCAGTTTAACAAATATCTACGTACGATAGGGGTGGTAACAGACCCTGTCTCTCGTGGATGCAATGAAGAAGAGGAAACAGCTGATCACATTCTTCGTGAGTGTCCAGCCCTAGCCTCCTACAGGGAATCCATACTAGGGGACATCTGGCCTAGTATGGCAAAAATCAGGGAGTTTCCACCCTCTGCATTACTCAAGTACATTCAAGCAGTTGGGTGGCTTGACGAGTAGAGGAGCGGGAAAACACCCTGAAATGGACTTGGGGAAGATACAATGGGCCCAAAGGGGAGGCCTAAGTGCCGGCTGGCTAATGTCAGCCCCCATAATAAAGAATCCAGAATCCAAAACAACATTTTGCAATGTAATTTGAAATATGCAGAACCGAATTCTTTGAAGCATGGTAAATTTTTGGTCAAAATGTATTTGCTCATCCCTCCTAAAAAATTAATGACGTCACCTCAAGATATTGCTTAAATGCACAAAATATGATGAGTCTATACTTGTGATTTATCACTGCATTAATATTTTTTTGATTTGCTTATACAGGGTGTATTGTTGTCCGAGTCAATTTATTTTATTTATTAAATCAAGAATTGCAAAATCTTCGAAATCTTTCAGACGTTTTAAAGTTATTGTAAGCATGGTAAATTGTTAATCAAAATATATCTATAATATAAAAAAAATTAGAGAACGGGTGGGTGGGCGGGGCTAAGTCTAACTTTTTCCCGTAGAGACATTCATAAACAAGCAATAGTCCCGCCCAGCCACCCCCTCTTCATTCCAGTGATTACTCTTAATATTGTTTATTCATTTACCGAAATCAATCTTATCTTAACAAGTACTAAATTAATAATTCCAAAGGCGGCTTCTAATATATAATTTATTGTATTAATAATTAATTAATAATAATACACCCGTTATAATAAGTCACATGATGTCTTGAATTTTACGGATATGAAAAACATGCACGTTTTAGTTAAAATTTTGTTCTTTTAATGATAATTTTCAATGAATAGTAAAATTTGATAACAAAATCCACACCCATTTTATATTGTTTATGGTAACCAATTCGCTAATTCTAATCATTGGTTGCTCGACGTTCCTTTTACACGTCTTCTCACCATCTTACAGCGAGTTGTATACGGTAACAATAAATTTCCAGTTTGCACTCTTAAAATATTTGTAAAACATTATAATTTATCTTTATTAAAAATAAAAACATTGTAGTCAAACAACAAACGATCATAGGAAACTGGTAGTAACCGTAAATTTAAAATTTCTCTCCAACCGGGGTGATAGTTAATTCATTAATCTGCAACTGAAAATTTCAGACAACGATATAATAATTCTAACTCAATACCTGAACATTTTCAGAGGTAGATAACACGTATCCCACAGCTTCCGCAACATCTTCTGCCTTTAGTATTGGAAAACTGTTCATTAGATTTCTACGCTTCTCACCAAGTACAGGATTAAGAGTTGTCATTTCACTGGTGACTAACCCAGGACTGATACTCTACAATCGAAAATGTAGAAAATGAGAACAATAAAATTATTAACACTTACAGTAATTTTAATTTTAGAATCAACAGCATTCAATTCATGTCTCAAAGTCTCGGCTAAAGCCGTCACTGCGTATTTACTCGCAGTATAAACATTAATACCCGGCATAGGCACCACTTTATGACCCGCCACACTGTTAATATGAATAATATGCCCATTGATTTTATTAGCAGACATTATCTTCACAGCCTCCCGAGTCGCGATGCACAAACCCATGACATTGACGTCGAAAGTTTGCTTCCAGACCGCTGCATCTCCATCCCTCAGCGAATTTTCTTTAGTAACACCAGCATTGTTGATAAGGATGTGAACATGGCCTAAATTTTTTTCGATCCATTTGAACGCATTCACAATGTCTTCCTCTTTAGCCGTGTCAGTTTTAATAGCATGGAGTTTTCCTGATTTACCAGAAAGCTCTTTAGCTTTTTGCTCTATGAGTTCGGATCGGCGAGCTAAGCCAGCAACCTTAAAAAGAATATTAGTTATTTAGATATATTAACTCGTTGAGAACTAACTATTAATCCTTTTTCTACGAGAAACTCAGCAATGGCTGCACCTATTCCAGAACTTGCACCTGTTACCACAGCAACTTTTCCGACCCATCGATCAAGCGAAAGTACCATTTTTGATAGCTTTTTAAGAGGTAATCTAACAGCGGACTTTGTGACAATGAGCTTTTTTAAAGAGATTTTCTTATTGGGATTTGGCAGTTGGTGTCTGCACTATACGACTGTTTGGAACTCATACAATCTCTGTTTTGTAAGATGACTCGTTTTTTTCAGAGTAGATTAGATCGTGATGATACCGATAGATATGTAGGTAATTCGTAATGAAACTGTCGAGTATAAGACGTACTTGTTTTAAATAATTGAAGTTGCGTCTCAATTGCCTATAACAACTTTTGTACTTTTACACGCAGTTTAAAGTGATATGAATAAAAAACCTAAACATTCTAAACAGTAACATTTCCCAATTTAATTTTGAATCTGTAAAACAGTTTTAAAGTTATGATAAGCATGATAAATACTTAATCAAAATACAAATCATATCTAAAATGTCCAAAATATGATGACTCTATACTTGTGATTTATCATTCCATTCATATTTTTTGGATTTGCTTATACAGGGTAACTCAAAAAATTTAATGAAAGATTGAATTTATTTTATTGATTTAATCAGGAACTGCAAAACCGAATGCTTGGAAATCTTGGAGATGTTTTAAAGTTATCATAAGCATGGTAAATTTTTGATCAATTTGATGAGATATATTTGTCCATCCCCCACTAAAAAATTGATGACGTCACCCCAAAATATTGCTGAATAAATCTAAAATCTTAAATGTACGAAATATGATGAGTCTGGACTTGTGATTTAACACTGCAGTCATATATTTAGATTTGCTTAAAAAATTAATGAATGAGTCAATTTATTTTATCGATTACATCAGGAACGGCCCACTCCATTTTTCCAGAAAATTTTAAAATACAATACTGCTATTTTTAGTATTACACTGCACCAATCTAAGTTGATTTATGTGTTTCTGCAAAAATGTTGATAACATCGACACAAAATTTAAAAAAAAAGTAAAAACTCAACTCGAAAATGCTGGATATGGTTCATTGTATTTTAGGTGCGAGGGAATATAAGACTCAACGTTTTTAAAACAGATATTTTATTAAAATCAATTCGGACAGCTCAGTTTACGAGTACTTGACTTGGTTATAGCTGAGAATCGAATGACTCCCCTCGTGGACCATAACCACAGTGGAGTACCATGACGTCATTGTTTATTTGGAACTATATCCAGTGCTGGTCGAATTCCTTCCATGTGCGACTCGTAGCCCATTCACGAGAGAAATTCCTTACAGGAAGTTCTGTCGAAACAGCTTTAGACCAATTATTTTTGTTTCTAATACTCAATGAGATATCGAGGAACGCGCTCTAAGTGACTCACCCTATATTTGTGGCAACACTGGTTTACCTGCTGGATGAAATTTAATGTCGCTAAACAGACACACACATACATACAGGGTGAGTCCCTAACAAAAGTCAAAAACCAACATATTAAACACAATATTTTCAGAGAAGGCTTGCGGATTCAATTCCAAAGATGGCTCGCCTAGAAATTAAGCATATCCCCACATATTTGTTCACATAGAGCATGGCAAGCTTTTATCAAGTTTTTCGGATTTCAGTAGAAAAGAACCTCTTCGAATATTTGTACAACATCATTTATTGACATTAAAAATAAAGCATTGTTTAAATGTGTTGAAACGTGTGATTAAAGGAAAGTAGGAGTAGATTTTTATTTCATTTAAAATTTCTCACCAACCGGCGTGATAGTCAATTCGTTAATCTGCAACTAAAAATTTCAGAAAACAATGTGATGATTTTCAGTCAAATACCTGAACATTTTCAGAAGTCGACAAGACGTATCCCACAGCTTCCGCAATATCTTGTGGCTTTAGTATTGGCAAAGTGCTTACCACCTTTTTACGCTCCTCACCAAAATTGACAGTTGTCATCTCGGTGGCGACTAATCCAGGACTGAGACTCTACAACCAAAAGTGTAGACAATGAAAACATTGAAATTATCAAAGCTTACGGTAATTTTAATTTTTGAATCGATAGCATTCAGTTCATGCCTCAGAGTTTCCGCCAAAGTAGTTACTGCGTGTTTACTCGCAGTGTAGACATTAATCCCGGGATAATCCACCACTTTATGACCTGCGACGCTGTTAATATGAATAATATGACCTTTAATGTTATTAGCAGACATTATCTTAACAGCCTCTCGAGTTGCAATGCACAATCCCATAACATTCACATCGAAAGTTTGCTTCCAAGACGCTGAATCTCCATCCCTTAGGAAATTTTCCTTAGAAATACCAGCATTGTTGATAAGGATGTGGACATGACCCAAATTTTTTTCAATCCATTTGAACGCATTCACGATGTCTTCTTCTTTGGTGATGTCGGTTTTAACAGCATGCAGTTTTCCTTTTTTGCCAGAAAGCTGTTTAGCTTTTTCTTCGACGCGTTCGGAACGACGAGCTAAACCAGCGACCTGAAGAAAAATAATTATACCATAATTCGTAGTAACTGGTGGTTAATGACTAACTATTAATCCTTTGTCTACGAGAAACTCTGTAATCGCCTCACCTATTCCAGAACTTGCACCTGTGACTACAGCGACTTTTCCGACCCATCGATCTAGTGAAAGCACCATTGTGAAGAAGCAAACTCACGTCTGGGTGTTTAAATTGGATTATTAAATTATGTAACAGCGACTTTGGTGGTGAATCACTCGTTATTCGGTTACTAAACAAAACTAGTATTAGAACGTGTTTATGTGTCTACACTCTACGTTGCATTTGGTATTTATAACGTTATTTGATTGATGCGATGACTGTTTTTCCTTTTATATGATTAGATAGTGAAAACCGAAGTGAAGTACATAACTAAATAAATAGTTGCACTTTAAATTTAAAAATAGTACACAATAGGGTTCATTTGGAGTTAATAACGTTTTATAGTTTATATATATATATATAGGTATATATGATGACTGTTCTTTTCTTTATCAGATTAGATATAGTGAATAGCGAAGTGAAGTTACACAACTAAATAAGTATTTGCTCTTTCAATTTCAAAAAATTGGTCTAAAGAGTTTTGACAGTACTTCCCTCGCAGTCGGAAACGTGACGAGGGCATGCCTATCAAGTTTTTTTTTCATTACATTTTTGTAGCGGAGTATTTTAAAAAATTTTTGCGATGACGTCATCAACATTTTTGCAAGGACACGTATATTAGTTTGGATAGATGTAGAGTAATACTAAAAAAATAGGGCTAGGCGGTTGAAATTTATGCGCTGCGTATGAACAGTATGAACCACGCCAGACCAGTGATATTACGCATCGTGAAGAAAATAATTATAAGTAAACTAACGTTTTAATAGTTTTCAAGTGTCGGTCTCGCTGAAAATAAATCTATTTCTGCAAATTATTAAAAATTATAAACAATTGGAAAGCGAGAAGCGAGTACGGCAAGGATGCACCGCCCAGCTTTATTTATAAACAACGACGTCATAGCAAAACGCATCTGTGCGTGATGTTTGAAATCCCGCATGCTGTTGAATGCGCCAAAGTCATCAAAAACGGTTATGAGTGCAAAAAATATATTTACAGCACATTATCAACGGGAATACATTATTTTATTGTTATAAAGACGAGCGTATTCTCACATTTTCCAGAAAATGGGGTAGCTCGTTCTTAATTTGATCAATAATAAACTGACTGACTCATCAATTTTTTTGAGTCACATGTTTGAGCAAATCTAAAAAATATGAATCCGCTGATTAAAAATCTGTTCATATTTTGCACATTTGCGAAATAATTTATTCGGCAAAAACATAAATTTTCATTAAAAAGTTACCATGCTTATAATAACTTCAAAACGTCAAGATTTCAAAGTATTCAGTTTTGCAATTTTTGATTAAATCAAGAATTGCAAAACTCTAAACTAAAATCTCAATTCGGAGTCATAAAGTACATGTGTAAGACTATGTTATTTGATACAATTTAAAACCCATTTACTATGTACAGTCTTGAAGTTACGTCATCACATTAGTGGTGCGGATGATTAGACAAAATCAATAAAATAAATTGACACAGTCATTAATTTTTTTCACACACCCCGTATAAGCAAATCTAAAAAATATTTATGCAGTAATAAATCACAACTATAGACTCATCAAACTTTGCACAATGCACATTTAAAATAGCATTTTTTCGGAAAAATTTTGAGGCGACGTCATCAATTTTTTAGGGGGGGGGGTGAGGAAATATATTTTGACTAAACATTTACCGTTCCTATGATAACTGTAAAACATCTCTAAGACTTGAAAGCAGTCGGTTTTGTAGTTCCTGATTAAATAAATAAAATATATTCACGCATTCATTAATTTTTTTGAGTTACCCTGTATATGCAAATCCAAAAAATATTAATGGAATTGTAAAGTACAAGTACAGACTCATCATATTTTCTACATTTTAGATAGGATTTATTCGGCAAACTTTTCAGGTGACGTCATCAATTTTTTGGAGGGGACCTTATATTTTGAATAAAAACTTATCATGCTTATCATAACTGTAAACCATCTGCAAGATTTCAAAGCATTCGGTTTTGCAGATTGCAAATTAAATGTCAAAATGTTGTTTTCTAATTTTGATTTTTTTTTTCCAAAAATCTGGACGTTTCGGCTAAAATCTCAATTCGGAGTCATAAAGTACAGGTGTAAGACTATGTTATTTGATACAATTTAAAACCCATTTACTATGTACAGTCTTGAAGTTACGTCATCACATTAGTGGTGGGGATGATTAGACAAATTTTGATTAGTGTTTTACCATCTATATGATACACCTAATATAAATAGAAAAATGTTACAACAATCGGCCCAGTAGGTATTTTCGGAGATTATCTGTCTAATAAAAATCCGGGACGGCAAACAGACGAACAGAAAGACGGAAACGTGAGACCTATTTCTTCGTCCTCTAGGGATCATGATAGGTCGAGAAAATGCAAAAGTAGAAAGTCGGCCGATGGACTCGATTACAATACTTCCTTTGCCTAAGCTCGGGAAGTGAAAACTATATAATTTGATTTTGGGAATTTAATTTTTTTTTTGAGAAACCCTAGAACTTAAAATAAAGATATACATATATGTAATGTTAAAGTAAATATAAAGAACCGTGCTACGACTATGTTTCAAAGCAGTTTTTCCTTTATAAACTTTTGTGATAAACATTTTTGCAAGATGTACATCAATTTGGATAGGTGCACTAAAACATACTAAAACAATAACAGTATTGTATTCCCAAATTTTTGATAAAATGAAGTGATCCGTTCCTAGTTTAATCAGTAAGATAAATTGTCTCATTTAAGACCCCCGGGATAAGTAATTCTAAAAAATATAAATTCACATTTTCGATAGGATTTATTCGGCAAAATGTTGAGATGATGTCATCAATTTTTTGGTATTTATTAATTATTTTGAGGTACCCTGTATAAGCAATTCCAAGAACTATTAATGGAATGATAAATCACAAGTACATCATATATCATATTTTGTAGGTTTTAGAAAGGAACTATTTTACAAAATTTTAAAATGACGTAATCCATTTTTTGGGAGGGGATAAACGAATAAATTTTAAATAACGACTTACCATCATTACGACAACTTTAAAACGTTTCGCAAGAGATCAGAGCATTCGGTTTTGTAGTTTCAAAGTTAAATTGCAAAATCTGGTTGTCCAAGATGAAAACTCAAGACGGATTCATTCACCACAAATGCAAGAGGGTCTTATTTTATAAAAATAAAAAAAATTATTATTGTAAATTTTGGAGATGACGTCATATCATTGGTGGTGGGTGAAATGAGTTCTTCAAAGCATGGCTTGTTAACTACTTTTCCACTATTAGATAGGGAGCACCCGCAAACACAAATATTCGTAAAGAATCATCACTTGGATGATTGAATGAACACTGATTATCGTAACCAATATTGAGCTAAGAGCAAAGACCCATATTACCCGTACCCATGTCACTAGTAATTACAACGACAATCAATCCCGCAGAATAAAGTGCAGCTATTATTTCAAACATAATAACTTTTGTCATGTTGTGGTCAAATTGGTAATAAATTGGTTCCTTCCATTGACCAACCAAACCCCTAGCCGCAGCTGTTTGACACGATCTATGTGAACCAAGTTTCTTTTGAATAGTTCTGTCAATATAAGTTTTATTAGAGATGTAGATCTCATCGAATGTCAGTACCATCAGTGTTTGTAGTTCTGTCATTCCTACTGACTTTCTTTTCATTAGTCGAATAATATCAGCTAGAAGCCTTTAATCCAAGTGCAAACATTTAGCCCAATCCTTTAAAGTTATAAATCCTGGTAAAGGATAATAATTGGCTCGTACTAAGCTGTAACCTTTAGGACGTATACTTCTTACAGTATATTTAAAGCAAAGAGTCAGCAATAAAGACAGGTGATCAGCGCGTGTTCAACTGCCAATTGGTCGACAAATTTGGAGGAGGGTATTTCCCAGGCCAGTTTTACACTGTACCGATACTTCGTTGCCAGTGCGTTTTATTGTTGACTCATCGCTTGCGTTGTGTCGGCTCCTTGCTTTCGTCGTTTGTGGTTTCGCTTGTTTTTATACATGTAACCGCCATCAAGTCGGATGTTGAAAACATTATTTTGTCAAAATCGGAACTTAAATTTTCTCCACAGTGTAACACGGGCTAGGCGCAGTAATCTTACGCGCACTCGGCTCCAGAATACATCATGCAGGTTTCGCGTGATCACTGACTCTTTCATTTGAACAGAGAATAAAGAGATTCCCGATGCAATATCATCAAAACACCAATGATTTTTTTTCGCATTTGACTAGCAAGTAATTTTATTTGCTCGGGTGTAAAACACTTGCTTAGCAACGTCTCAATTTTTCTTTGAATTTTTTTGGGTTGATCTTCCTCTAGATTATAAATTTTTTCTTTTCGTTTTTTCCTCTAATACTGCAATATATTTTTTTCCCTATTTTTATTCTCCTTTTTCAGATTTTCAATGATCCTGTTCAAACCTTCAACCTCGTCTTGAGAGCTGTTCATAAAAAAAGTACACAAAAATTTAAAGCACTTTATTGAAAGTCCAGTAGGATGATCGTTTATGTCATAAACTTCGCCTTGTCCTTTCCCTAGTATTGTTTAATTTATTTTTTTTTTCATCGCAACGATGTCTTTCGGCAAGCCCCTCAACCCTTTTATCAATCCCCAGCAATGTTTTGACAGCTTTAGAGTAATTCCGCAAATTTTGATTTGGAACATCATTTGTCTTTAAATTTCTACTTAAACTTCTCTTAAACTTGGATGTTCTATCTCTGGAAGTATCTGCTTCTGATTTTTAGAAGAGAAATAAACGACATCTTAAAAATTATATACTATTATACAAACAGCAGGACTAACGAAGACTATGACAGTCGAGGAAGGGAAAAAGGTGTGCAAGGATAGGGGTCAATGTCATTCACAATATTTTCATCGAAGACATACGGACTCAAATCCAAAGATGACTTGCTTTGAAATTATGCATATGGATTTTTGGCAACACGTATCGTGTAAATAGCAAACTTTTATCAAGTTTTTCAGGTTTTAAAGAAAAGAATCTCTTCAAATATTTATAAATATCATTTATTGATATTAAAATTAGAGCATTATTTAAATGTGTTGAAACGTGTGATTAAAGGAAAGTGGGAGTAAATTTTTATTTTATTTAAAATTTCTCGCCAACCGGCGTGATAGTCAGCTCGTTAATCTGTAACAAAAAATCTCAGAAAACCACATGATAATCTTCAGTCAAATACCTGAACATTTTCAGAAGTGGACAAGACGTATCCTACAGCTTCCGCAATATCCTCTGGC